CTGACTAGTTAACTGTGTAACTTCGAAGCAAACCCGGGGCTCTGGGAGCACAGAGAAGGGAGGATAGAGGAGGTCCTGTTTTCCAGGAAGAGCGCTGTGGCCTGTTTACAAAAGCATGAGACGGTGAGAATTAGAATATTCGTGTCACATAAAAAGCACAAATTTTAGGAATCAATGGCCTGATTTCGAATTCTTCCTCTGCCACTTCCTGCATGGCATCGGAGGCCCCCTGCACCTGTCTGCACCTTGGTTCCTTCATCTAGAAATGGGCCTCACAGTAGAGCCTGTCTCATAGTTTTGAGAGTTGCGCACTCAAAATATATTGTTATCATTTGATTTTTAAGGGCCTACTTTAAAATCCCTCATTGTGGCATGTAAATTGGTGTTTATAACTAAAGTTCTTGAATTTTTTGAGCTGGAATCCTGACACAACACTTTTTTTATTTATAATATAATGGAAACACCTATGTTTATGTTGTAAAACTGTTTTTGTAGAACTGTAGCTATGTAGGTCATATGGTTTATGAAATATACTTGTTTGTCAGATTACCTTTTATCCATGGAAACAGGATTGCAAAAGTAGCATCAATAAACATGAGGTAACCACCAGCTAGAATTGGTTACCATCTTGTGAAATCAGTAGTAAGTCATTCAAGACATTGTGTCACGCTTTGTGACTTTCCTGTGCTTTCGCATAAATCCTCTCTCAGCCCTTTAACCGCCCCAGCCCATGGAGAAGGCAAGCATGTGGCAGGTATTATAAAACTGCTGTTGGCCCCCGCTGGTGGGGCTCAGAGGACTGAGCGCCGGCCCGCGAACCAAAGGGTCTCTGGTTCAGTTCCCAGTCACGGCACAGGCCTGGGTTGAAGGCAGGGTCTCCAGTGGGGGGCGCACAAGAGGCAACCGCACATTAATGTTTCTCTCCCTCTCTTTCCCGCTTCCTCCCCCTCTCTCTAAAGATAAATAACTTAGCAAAAGCTTTAAAAAAAAACTGCTCCAAGCCTCAGTCCCCTTCTGTGAAATGGAGAGCTGTGACTTTGGCAGGGTCACAGGACTGACACACGACAGAGCTGGTGCCAGCACCCCTTCTTCTGATTTCCGATTCCCTGATCTTTCGTGTGGGTTGTAACAAAACTCCTATCAACGGCCAAGGCCCAGGCCTGTCTCCTCCTCATGGCTGAGATGCCAGCGGCCACCCTGCTCCCCTCCCTGCGCTCACCATGGGCGGCGCGAGTCTCGCCTCCGCGCCCAGAGTACTCGCGGGTTGTGGCTGCGTCGGGGTGGAGGTGCGGGTCCCTGCTGGGTCCCCCTCGACGGTTACTTAGACACACACACAGCAGAAGCTCCTCATCTTCAGTGGCTGCCGTGCCCACTGAGGCACCAGCAGCTTTCCACGCGTTCCCCGCTTGCTCCCCGCCTCAGACCGTTCTGTCCTGGTCACAGGCTCTCTTCCTGAGAATCTGGTGTTCTCTGCCTCTACCGCTTCTGGCTTCTGATTCTGTTCTTGCTCCCGGCCACATATTTCTCTGATCTTCCTTCCGCCTCTCTGATCCATATATCGTTTTATATGCATCAGATAAGCATTTGCTGAACACCTATTATGTGCTCTGCCCAGAGGATGCAAAAGTAAAGCAGAAAACCTGACAAGAATATAAGCGTAAAAGTGTCAGGGAAGCACAGGCAAGGGTGACGCGGTGGGAACGGAGCAGGGGGATGGGTTCCCCTGGGACACGTGGGGACATCTTCGCAGAGCGGGCCATGGCTGCGCCTGTTTGCCTGCAGAAAACGGGAAGGGAGTTCCTGGGCCAGCGCACAGTGTGAACCAGCTGACATGTTTGCCAGAAACGAAAAGTAGTGTAACTGGAGATCGGTGACCTAGAGATTTAGAGCAGGCAGGTGCGAGACCCGACTGAAGAGATGGCCAGCGGCCACGTTGGAAGAGATCTGCTGTCCTCACTGCTGAGGTGTGGACCTTACCTAGAGGGGACCAAGAGCTGCTGAAGGGTGTCCCTGGTGTGTGAGCTTGCTGACTGCACGAGGCCAAGTCAGCTGAAGGGAGGGCAGACTGAGGAAGGGCACGGGTCTGGAAGCTCTTGCAGGAACCTGAGAGAGAGGAGGACCAGCGCGGCTGGCGTGTGGAAAGAAGAGGGAGAAGCTCCGTGTTCCGAGCGACACTCACGAGGGCTTGGTTAGTGGAGAGGGGCTTGGTCAGGATTGGCCCTGAGCTTCTAGCATAGAATTTCCTGCTGATGCCAGGAGTGCATGCCAGGCTGCAGGCGCGGGGAGCAGTGGGGAGCCACTGAGCCCGGCTCTGCGGGTTAAAGGCGCCTGTGGGACTTCCCGGTGGAGTTGCCCAAGAGGCCATCAGGAACATGGGTCCAGGCTCAGGAGTCAGAGCTCCAGATATGGTGACTTTAGGACTGAGAGGATGGTCAAAACCTATGACTGTCCAAGGAGGGTATGTATAGGAAAGAAAAAAAGAAAAAGAGAGGGTCACTGAGGATACATCCGAGACTCCTGGCTTGCTGGGACGTAGTGAATGGAGCACCAAACCAGCAAGCGTTTAAGGGTGAGGTGGAGGAGGAGGAGCCGCCCAAGAGCCTTAGGACAGAAAAGCCGGCCACTGGAGAGAGAAGAATGCCGTGGCGGAGGGCGGCAGGGAGGGGTGGGGGCGCCGCGGGCGGGTGCCGCTCAGGGATCCCGGTGAAGTGACTCAGCCCTCCCTGGCATCAGTGAGAGTTCGTTTGGGTGCAGGCTCTTCAGTTTTCTGTGTATCCTGCTGCTTCGCAGTCTGCACAGGAGAGAGCCGGTATTTGTAGATACTAGCCATCGGGACATCCTCTTCTCCCTAATTGGAAACCTCACTGAATGGAGCATAAGTGTAATTTTTGCCCTCTCACTGCTCATTTGCAGCTCTAAGGCTTCCTTTTCTCCCCTTCAGACAGCAGATCTTGTTCTGGTTTTAGCCAGCCGACAGCAGGTTAGAAAGTTCCTAACGAAAAGTTTTACTCTACACGGACTTGGTTATGCTAAGGCCTTTCATCGAACATCTGTTTGTATATACAGCAGAGTTCACGCCTTGCGTACAGTCCACTATAAATCTGGTGCTCAGAGCACGGTGATGATTCAGCCAGTCCCTGTGCTGGGCTGCAGGAGCTGGAGGTCTGCTTTTCCCTCCCTCTGCCTCAGTCCCAGGCAGCTGTCATGGTATCGCTAACGCTCCAAACGGACTGTGAATCCTGTATTTAAGGCGAGAGAGAGGAGAGAGAGAGGAGAGGGGAGAGGAGAGAGGGGAGAGAGAGACACGGTTATTATTTTTTGGCATGACACCTAAACATAAGCAAGCCACTTGACCTGATGCTCAGAGAACTAGCGATCTGTGTTAAGTGCTGGAGGAAGCAGGCTGTTTTAGGCCCATCGACAGATAGGAAGTCTGCCTCTGAGTCTCCCTAGGGGCTTCTACTCTTTCCCCCGTGCATAATACAGACCATAGCTCTCCCGTAAGACTCAACTCCTTATGTAGATAAACATAAACGAAGTCACCTTCTCTCTCTGTCATTTTCGGGCGGGAGCACTAGTACTGCATTTGGTAAAAGGACCTCGAGACCAGCTCCGAGCAGAGAGGACGGACGGTTTGAAACCTTTGGTGTCCTGAGTTCTGGAAGAGAGTCGGGCCCCCGGGGAGTGTGAGGAGGAAGGTGTGTGTGAAGTCAGGGGTCCTGAGAGGTCACTGAGGTACAGGCTGCGGCTGGAAGTGGCCGATCTGGGCATTAACAGCCTGGCCCCTCGATAAGTCGGCCAGCCACAGCCCGGTGGGAAATACCAACCTCCTTGGGCCTGACTTTGCTCATCTGAGACGAGATGATTCTGGCTGAACTAGCTTTGAGGAACAGAGGAACCAGGTGGGTGAATGAAAGATCCAAGGGAAGGGAGGTCTTTCAGGCCTGAAGTTCTACTTTGTACAACTTAGTATCGCCAGGGTTCAGAACGAACTGGCCTAAGGTGTGTGCCTCAGTAGTGTGTGGATTATTTTGACCTGAAGGCAAGATTGCATGGGCTCAATAGAAACTTCTGCCCCTCCCCCCAACTATCCAGAAGAATTTAAATTAGGGGCCTGGCTCACGGTAAGAGTTACCACCAGAAATACTTTTAAGCTATCTACATGGCAGGGCAAACTCATAACTCCTGAACACATGGAGTTACCTCCCGAAGCCCCAACGTGACTAACCTGTCCCCTCGCTCGACTGTCACATATGCCTCACTTTCCCCTTTTCGTCTCTGAGCCTCCCATGGGGGCGGGGGGTTCCCACACATATGTAGGTAATTGAATCTGGTCATTTTCTCTTACTAATTTGTCTCATGTATATCCGATTAATAGGCCAGCCGATTGAACGTTGAGGGTAATGTTTCTTCCTCCCCCACACTGTGATAAACACCATGTTGGTAAGCCTTCACCTAAAGAAATGGCGCTATTAGGCACTTCTGCAGGATCTCTGATGCTGAAGAAGTTGTACCAGTATCCATGTAGTTCACCCAGGATAGTTCTTGGACTAAAGCAATGCCTGTTAGGTGACTTGACTTCCTTTAACAACAACAGCAGCAACAACGATGACAACAACAACAACAATATATATCTATATGTATTCTCCATATTATATACGCTTACTGTGTATTCTTTTTTTCCTGCCTTCATAGTCCTCTGTATAACCTATAAGGCCCAGAACTAGGCTCTTGCAAAAGACTTTTATGACTATTTCAGCTCATAGTAATTGTCTCTCCTGTATTTCTGTGGAATTTTCAGCTTCTATCACACAGAGCAGCAATTTTCTCAACAGTCTTTGCTAATGATTTCTGCACAGTTCAGTTTTAGGCACAGAATTATAGATGACTTTATTTTAATCTCTCATTTTTACATAAATGTATTACCTGTGGCCCCAGCTAACTTGTAAGCTCCTTGTTAAATACTGTTTTTTGTTTTGTGTCATTTTCTTTTCCCATAGAGCTTTCATTGCTGAGGTTCCTCAGTGCCGAACTAACAAGAGGGTACTTCCTTGAACATAACGAGGCCAAGTACACAGAAAGAAGAGAAAGAGTGTACACTTGTATGCGAATACCAAGGGAATTGGAAAAGGTACCTTTTTTCCTATAACCAGATATCATTTTAAAAGTTATGTCAATGTGTCAGTCATACCAAAAAATAAGTGAACAGCTTGAGTTGAGTTTTTAAATGATTAGAAATGTTATCACAAGTAATTAAATATGTTGATTGGGGGAGTAGGAATTCCCATATAGGAAGAGGCTTAAAAGTATATTTTTAGTGTAAGGTCCAATGATTCTTAACTTTTGCTTCTTATTAAACTTACTCTCTTTCCATTTGTGTTCCACCTCAATAACTTTTTCTGAGGAATCACCTTCACTTCTTTAGTTCACTTCAGTTTTGTTTTAGTAGAAGCACTTCATTTTTCCATTCAGCATGATAAATTATTTAATTACAGCCTTTATTAAGGTTTCAGTTTCTCACAATATGTCCCTCATATTTAAAAACACAAGGGACAGTGTCTTCGAGGAAAAGGTGGCCCCCTGCGCCTTCATCACAGGCAGTATCACATCGCAGGGCCAGCAGTCACCGCGGCGCTGAGTCCTCACACACCACGCTCCCTTGGTTGCGACTCACCCTGTCAGGGCCTGTCAGGTACGACAGGAAGGCCACCTTCGCCTCTGCATTGCTAGAGGTGGCGACTGGGCACTTCCAAAATTCCTTGCTACAAGGAAAGAATTCAGCTTTAGCTATATTAAAACACATTTTTATAGCTTTATAGTAACATAAAACTTATAATTCAGTCGCTTCCTTAGAATCATACTTTCTGTTAGAGCGGCTGTCAGAGAGCGTTGCAGGTTTGCTCTGTGGCGTGTTAGTGACCAGAGGCGAGGTAGGCAGGGAGCGGTAAGGATCCCCGGGTTTGGCTGGTGTCCTTTTATTTCTGACAGTCCATCAGTGTGGTGGAAGGACAGTGTCAGTCAGGTGTAAAGTGACAACTTGAGAAACGTCACTTCACATTGGTTCTTGGTGACATGTCACACGCGGAAGTTTCGGGAAGTTCTGTACCTCTAGGGTGAGATGTGGAGAGCTGGAGCGAGCGAAGATTCTGGGAGAGAGAACAAACATGGCAGTGCAAGCATTTGTTGCCTGAGGTCGGGGTCCCCGTGGGCTTGGTTGCCGACGTGCTGTTGCATTTCTCGGGAGTTCTCGGGCTCCCAGGAGGTGGAGGAGCCGAGGGCCTGGCCGGTGTGAAGGGCCCGTGTGTGGGGCGCCCTCGGTGCACCCTCCCCCCACGCCGCAGCACCGTCGTTGTGTATATTGGAGCTTGTGTAAGATTTGGGGGGGGGGGTAATGTTTATTCTGTGTGCAAAAGTGAAAAATTAAACTAATTCTATTTTTCTTAAAATACTTTTTGAAAAGCAAGGCTCACTTTTTCCTCTAGTCGTCCGCGGTGGGGTGGACGTGCCAGGGACCGCAGGGGCCTGGGGGGCTGGGGGTCGGCTGGGGCGGTGTCCTCACACAGGGCAGCCTTGGCTGTCCCCGTTCAGCTCCCCCCCGCCCCTAGCCCCGCTCTGTCCGGTGGGGGCTGTTTTCTCGCCCTGTCTGAGCTGCCCTGGGACCCACTTCTCTCCGGAGGGGTTTGCCCGCAATCCACAGCCAGACCGTGGCCACGCCCTGGGGGCGGCCTCGGAGCGGGAGGTGTCTGTTCGGCCCTTTTGTTATCCCTCCTGGGACAAATACTGAGCTGTGGCGACGTCCGTTGGTAATCCTGTCACCTCATCAAAGGCAGGTACAGTGGCAACACGGAAAGAACAAGCAAGTTTCTGAGGAGATTTCTCAGAGAAACTGGTAAGCATTTCATGTTTGGTATTGTGAGTATTAAGTTGTCTTCTGGGGAAACTGCCTACAGGTCTTGGTAAGAGTATAAATCAGTGTTTTTCAAACATGGGCCATTACAGGGCCACTGATGGGTAACGCATATGGTAAGTTACAAATCAGTAAGGATCTTTTCTTAAGAATAAAGTATTAGATACTCTGATTAGATGCATTGGATATACTAAGGGTGTTTTTTCCGTGAAACTTTGGTTTCATTTGTATGTATGTAAAATATATTTCATGAGAAAAGTTGAATTAATACTGTTCATGCACAGTTGTCATAATTTTCTAATCCTTTTTCCCATGGAAGAGGGTTTTGGGTTTAGGCCTATGTAGGAAAATTTGATTTGGTCTTTTAGAGCAACACTCTAGAAGTTTTACTTGTTAAAGTGCATGAGAGGAAGTCATGTATTTCAGATCAGGGCGATTTCTTCTTCACTTCTCAGACAAAGGGAGCCCAGAGGAAAGGCAGGTTGCAGTTTCCTGCCAGGCTCAAGGCGCTCGTGGCAGCCGCGCTGATACCCCAGGGCCTTTCCTTTCTCGGAGCCGGAGCCGCGTTTCACTTCAGGCATTCGCTGTCAGAGCTGCAAGGCTCTCTAGACATTCCTGTGAATCTGGATTCTTTTTTTATTGGTTTCCTTTGTGTTTCCATTGTCTATTTTAATACATAATACCTTGCTCATTTTCGTTCTTGTTTTTGGTAAATGTTATGACATTTTCACCCAGCCTTTTGAGAGAGAGAGAGACACTTAATAATTACAGAGCACTTTGCTTCTACAGGGATTGCAAATACTATAAAACATGTAATTAATATTTATCCTTTAAAGTGAAGAGAAGGTCAGTTCAACATCTTTTACTGAACCTGATTATTAATGTAAACGAATCCCAGGTTTTTGTTGAAGGGCTAATTCTGACATCTGTGTGAATCTAAAACTGCAGGAAATAGTTCAAAAAATGCTCATCAGAGTATTTTCTAAAATAGCCGTAATATATGTAAGTGCTAATTCAGAGCAGCACAGATCAGTTATTCACTTATTTATTTATTTTCTCTGTCTTTGTTTTGAATACTTACTGTGTTCTAGGTACTTTTGCAATGCGGAAGTACAGAGCTGAACTTAAGACTTGTGAAGGTAATGGCAAGGTGCTGAGAGAAGGATGTAGAGTCTGTCCGTGCACCCTAGGGCATGTGTGTGCGCGTGGGGAGTGGGTATGCTAGGAAGACCCAGACGTGGAAGTTGTAGGTCCCTGCAAGAAAGGGCGGGTACACAGGAAGGACAGGCCGGATCCAAGTGACTCTTAGGTGGTTAGACCATGGAGTTTAGACTGGCTTTGGGAGGAAAACTACTGAAATAGATTTCTAAGGAACACTTTTAGCTGTGCATGTAACAGAATACCTAACAGTTAGCTATGTATGCAGCAATACCTAACAGGGGCTTAAAGAAATGAGATCTTTTTTAAGCAAGTCTAGAGGAAGGAGATCTCAATTGTTTCAGCAGGCGAATGAAGCCAGCATAGATGCAAGCTTTTTTTTCTCTCTCTTCACATTGTTGGTAAATTGGCTTTGGGTCTCTTGCTTGTTGCCTTTTAGTAGAAAGAGGACAGCTTCGGCCTCAGGCATTGCATCTGCATCACCATCAGAAGGAAGAGGAGAGGGGCTGGGCCACCTTTAAGACTTCCTTTTTTAAAGAGTGAAAGCTTTCCCAGAAGGCCCAGGCGCTCTTCCTTCTGCTTCGTCTTACTGCCCAAACTGAGTTACCCAGCCATCCCCAGCTGCCCCCAGCTGCACAGGCCCAGGAACAGAGAGTGTTACACTTTTCCAACAAAAGGAGAAACACAGTGAGAATGGTAATTGGATTAGCCGCCCCTCAGAGCTCTGTGTCCAAAAATTAGCATAGCAGTGCTCCACGTGGGTCCGAAAGAATCAGGGTGACCTCAGCGCTTTTCTGTGCGTGGTCTCCCTTCAAACTGAGATCAGACTCATTTATCTCGGAGACACCTATTCCTCATGTTAAATGCATGTCAGATGTAAGCTATGATTATTATGAAGCCTTTTATCAAAATTACTTTTGTTCTGTGGTTCCATGTGTTTATGCAACCTTGCCTATCAAAGTTAAAACTGAAATGAAAATACATGTTTGACTTTTTTATGATGTAATTCTATGCTCTTTGGTTTGGCAATCCCTTATTTCATTGTTACATTATAGTTATTTAATGCATTTTTTAAAAAAAATTGAATTCAACTCATCAGTCTTACATAGAACTATTTAGTTGTCTTGAGAATCTAGTGGGTTTTTTAACTTTAAATTTGTCAGGTCGAATATATACATACTGCTGTAGGTTTAGAATATTGTTATTTTTAGGCAAAAACTGTTGTTGTTATTGAAAGAGAGAAAGGTTACTGTTGCACAGGGGAATATTTAAGGTCAAGATTCAATACCTTAGCTTCTCCTCTCAGCCATGCAGGTCAGAGCCAGGTGGCCTGATCAAGGCCCTGTACCTTCTTTGGCTTTGACTTTGTCTAAGATTAGAAGGTTGGACTAGGTAGTCTCGGGGCCTTGCTTATAGCCTGTGAAACAGGAGTGACTGGAAAGATCCCAGAAAGGGGAATGTTACATAACCGTGGGGGGCTTAGTTCCGCTTGTTTGAGGGTCAGAGGCGGTAACCTTTAGGAAAGGTAATTGAAAAAGTTCCTTTCAGAGTAATGAGCTTAATCAAAATGTCATAGGAGGCCTTTTTATTGTTTCTCATCATGAAGTGTGTGTTAAGAAAGTACAGCCACGGTTTCACCTTTAGTTCATTGAAACAGCCCTGGGATTTCATGGCGACACCAATAGAGGGGCTTCCGCGGGCCCTTGTTGGTTGGCAGTGATTTCTTGGACAGCCTGCTCAGTTTCCAATTTCCTGGAAACACATTTGGGGCACCATCGGTCTAAATTCCCGTGAAGCGGCCGGTGTTGGTGACGCCCCCTGACTCGGACGTCCTGCTGCGTGGCTGACGAGTAGCAGGAACGTGCGGGCACCTGCACCCTCGTGGCCTCAGCTGCCTGGGCTGGCGCGCCTCCCCTTCTCTCTGAGGCATGCTGCCCCTGCTCCCAGAGGCGGTGACAGCAGCTTGCATGTCCCTCCTGAACCTGGCTCACCTTTCCCAGTGCAGGGGCACAGGGCCAGTCGGGCAGCAGCACCAGGAGCCCCTCCAGAAGAGGCTTAGAGGTGGT